AAAAATTAGCCGGGCGTGGTAGCGCACGCCTGTAGTTCCAGCTACTGGAAGACTGAGGCAGAAGGATCGCCGGAGCCCAGCCGGTCGAGGCTGCGGTGGCCGGCAGCGGCCACTGCACTCCAGTCTGGGCGACAGAGTGAGACTCCAACTCAAAAAAATAAAAATTAAGCCGGGCTCGGTGGCTCAGCCTGTCATTCTGCGCCTTTGGGAGGCTGAGGTGAGTGGATTGCCTGAACCCGTGGGTTCGAGACCCGCCTGGGCAGCGAGACCTCATCTCTACAATAAATCCAAAAAAAAATCAGCCGGGCGTGGTAGCACATGCCTGTAATTCCAGCTACTCGGAAGGCTGAGGCGGAAGGATCGCCGGAGCCCAGCAGGCGAGGCTGCGGTGGCTGGGAGCGGCCGCTGCACTCCAGTCTGGGCGACCGAGTGAGACTCCAAGTCGAAAAAAAAATAAAATAAAATAAAAAATAAAAATTAAATTAAATTAAAAATAAATTGTGTCAAAATGTTATCTCTTTTCCTCAAATACTTTTTGTCTTGATTAAACCACTTTATGATATGTATGCTTTCTGTTTCATAACTTTCCAGTATTTTTTGTTCATTTGTTTTGAATTAGGGTCTCTGTTGTCCAGGCTGAAGTACAGTCGCACAATCACAGCTCATCACATTCTCGACCTCCTGAGCTCAGAGGATCCTCCCACCTCAGCCTCCCAAGTAGCTGGGACTGCAGGTGGGCACCTCTATGCCCAGGTAATTTTTTAATTTCTTTTTAATTTTTTGGGTAGAGATGGGAGTCTCACTATATTGCCTAAGCTAGTCTCAAACTCCTGGGCTCAAGCAGTCCTCCCACCTTAGCCTCCTAAAGTGCTGTAATTACAGGCGTGAGCCACTGTGCCTGGTCAACTTTTCATTTTCTGTTTTTTGTTTTTAATCATTTTATTCCTTTTGCTTTTGGGGGGTGTTTCTTTCCAGTTTCTTATGTTGGATACCTATCACATTCCAAAAAACTGCAGTGTAGTGTTTTAATATATTTAACCCTTTGCACTTGGATGTCCTCTCTCAGAGGACATAAAGAGATTGCTGACGATTATACAAGACAAACAAGCACAAATTTTTTTTTTTAATGTATGTTTCCTTGAAGTTTTCCATCCGAAAACAATGAAAAGCCTATGTCCCATTTGAAATTTGTCAAGCTTCTGATCTATATCAGTTGAGAAGTGGTTTTCAGGAATCACTTCCTTCCATGTCGTCTTTAAACAGCATACTGGACAATAAATTGCATATTATTAATATGGGAGGAAGAAAACAAGACTGCATTGTCTGCTCGAATAGAAAAGCACCAGATAGAAGACATCAAACAAATTACTGTTGCCCAACATATACCAATGAACCGGCAGTGTAGATCGGTGACCATTTCACACATTATCACACATTAGAAAAATATGTTATACAATTTTGTATTTTTGTCATAAATAGGTTTCTCAATATCCAAAGTTCCATTATAAGCTAAATATCAGTACAATAACATAATTGATTTCAATACTATACTATTTAATATGAAGTGATTGGTTAATTATTTAGAACTTTTTCTTTTATTTTCCACTTCTGTAACTTTTCCCCCTGCTTATCTTTTGATTATTTTTTGCTAGCTTCTTTGCACTGTGGTCAAGTGATTGTAGCCATTTTCTGAGACAAGAACTATGGCCTCATGTGGATGGGTTTTATAGTTAGGAAATGCTCTTATGTTGTGTTCATTCTTTGTGTAGGTACTGAATTGCCTTCTTGAACTATATTTGTGAGAGCTCTGATGGTGGCTTCATCCATTTCTCAGAGAATTCTGTCCTTTTTTCTCCTTTTTTGAACTCTTTCTGCATTTATACTTTTCATTATGTACTAGCTCGTTTTCCTTTATGAGTTTTTTTTGCCTTAGTCCTTTCTATCTGGTGTGGACATAGTCAAGCCAGCATGCGGTTGTTGTTTTGTTGTTGTTGTTGTTTTTCTTCTGTCTTGTATATCTTTTTATTTCCATTCTTATCTTTATGCTTTAGATATCTCTTGTACATAGCATATAATTGGATTATCTTAACCTATTCTGTGTGACTTATCTGTATTTTAAAGTGTTAAGTCTATAAACATCTTTTATATTAATATAGTTGGACGTTACGATAATCCTATCTTTCTTTTTTCTCTAGCTTCTTTTGATTTGAATATTATTCATTCTACTTTTTCCTCTGCACATTTTGAATGGTTTTAGTGGTTGAACTAAACAGTTCCTAATTTTGTCCATTAAATGTAGATTCTGACATGTGCTATCACTCTCCTGATGTACATGTTTTTCTTATTATACATTTTAGGGGTTTTTTTTAACCTTAAAAGATATTCATATTTTTGCACAGTCATTTTTTTGTGTCACACTTACACACTTGCTACTTACTTTGCCTTACTTGCTTCTTATCCTGTGGTATAACTTCTTACTTTTTTTTTTCTTTTCTTATTTCTTTCTCCCTGAACTACATCTTTTAGAATGTCTCCTCTGTGGGTGACAAGTTCCAATATACTGTTTTGCCTTCTTTCTCAGTGGACAGTGTTGGTGGTTGTAGGATCTTATATTTTCTTCTAAAACTGTGTAGATGTTCCACTGTCTTCTGACTTCCATTGCTGCTGATGAGTCAGCTGTCAGCCTGATGGCCATTTCTTTAGAGCAGTGGCTCTTCCTGTGTGGTTTCCCAACTAGCAGCAGTGTCACCTGGCAGCTTGTTAGAAATGCATATTCTTAGACCCCATGCCCCAAGTCTTCTGAATCAGAGACTCTGGAGATGGGGCCTAGCAATGTGAGTTTCTTTTGTTATTTACAGTGTGTTTTGACAAGACCTCCTAGGGATTTTGGTGTACTCAGAGTTTGAGAACTATTGCTTTAATGGTCTTTTTTTTCTTTGGCTGTTGTTAAAATATTCTTTTTTGCCATTGGTATTCTCTGGTTCACTGTTACAGTGCCAAAGATTTTTTTTTAATCTCTCTTCAATCTGTTTACATTTTCCTCCTGAAATGAAAAATCCTCAGCCACTGTATTTAGCAGTAATTACCTCTGCACCTTTGCTCTCATCTGGAACTCTAGTTAGAAATGATTCAGTCATTTTTCCCTCTGGCCTCCATGGCTCTTAACTCTCTTTATATGCCTATCTTTTTCTGTACTGTTCTGAAATTTTCTAGAACTAGTTTTTACTTTTTTTTTTTTTAAATCAGTCTCATTATGTAGCCCAAACTAGAGTACAGTGGCTTGATCACAACACATTGTAGCTTTGACCTTCTAAGTGCAAGAGATCCTCCTACCTCAGCCTCCTTAAGTAGCTGGGGCTACAGGTGCATATCACCACACCCAAATAATTCATTTATTTATTATTTTTGTAGAGATGAGATCTCACTATGTTGCTCAGGCTGGTCTTGAACTTCAGGGTGCTTTTTTTTTGTAGTTGTTTGTAATCTAAAGCTACTCACTTAGGGTTTTTCTTCTTTCTTTTTCTGCTTTTATTTTAGCAACTGTAATTGCCATTTTAGAAATTCCAATTTTGTAGTTTTATGAATGCTAATATTAAAAGAGAAACAACTTCAATAACTCTGAAAAATTAATCTGTGCATACTAATTTATCCATAATGATGCCATTCTAATGATCTCGGTTTTGCTTCATGTTGTATAGAAACGGACCAGAACATCTCTGTGCTCATAGACCCTACAACTGATCTAGACTCCCCAGCTCCACATCCAACCAGCGTCACTTTGGTGCTGAAGTCTACCTGCTGAGTCTATGTCCAGGGCCACGTGTTCTTTTGAGACCCTCATCCTGCAGTGACAACCTCCAAAAGTGATAGAATCACTCAGGTGAGACATTGTCTAGATGCTCTGCTCTAGCCTCTCATTTACATTATTGCAAAATGTTGAAAGGGACCACGGATCTGAAATTGATGTGGGTACATTCTCTATGGGTGAACCATCCAGACAATGTGCTGTCTGTGGGGAGTAGTAGAAGCTGATGGGGCTTGAGGTTAGGCTAAGCCATTTGACTGTGTCTTAGCGCCCAGGTTACTATTAATTTCACAGGACCTTCTGAGAAGACCCCAGGCCCCACATTCCACAGGCTTTCTCTCTTGTGATCCTCCCAAGGTGCCAGCCCCAGGGCAGTTGTGTCTGAAGCTAGATAGGGATCAATGTGCTCATCATCCATCTATTCTTCATTATGTATTTATTTTCCTGTTATGTAGAATGCCATTCAGCTCTGGAACAGTGAATAAAAATATCAGAGAAGTCAGAAATCCCTATGTATTATCTAGTCAGGTATACTAGAAGAAAGCTAAACAAGTAAATAACATAGTGTGTATGGGAGAGATAGTACTGCTTACTGGGTGTTCTGTGTGCCAGCCTGTGTTTCCTGGGATCCTTGGAGCCTGCAGAGGCGAGCACTTCAGGGCCACAGTGTAGAAGACACAATGCACAGTTATCTGGCTTCCTTCTTGTCTCCATGTCCAAAATGGCCAAGGGAGTCAGTTGGTTCAGAGACAAGTGGCATGCCCCTGAGCAACTGGGAGATGTACCACATCAACACAGGTTGGACATGTAGCATGAGCATCACCTTTTCATTTTATTGAGCCATTGAGATCTGGGGTTGTCTTTTTTGCAGTAAAAATACAGCCTAACCTAACTTACACAGTATATTAATTGGAGGTTAGTACTTTGAGGAACAAAATTAAAAGAGTGGGGAATAGGGACTAAAAGAGGCAGGGGTTTGCATTTTAAATAGAGTGGTCAGTGGTCCGCATCGAGACACTTAAAGTTTAATAAAAATCTCAAAGAGGAGAGGGAGCCAGGCACGCTGACAATGTGGAGAAAATCATTCCAAGCAGAGAGAACAGCAAGTGCAGAATCCCTGAGGTGGGAGCATGGCTGGCAGAGTCTGTGGCCTACCAAGGAGACTAGCGTGGCTTGGATACATGAGCAGTGGTGGAGAGTCATGGATGCAGTGGCAGGGATGTGACCTTTGGTGTGAGTGAGATGGCATGCCATCAGATCTTGAGCAAAAACGTGACGTTACCTGCATTCTGCCCACAGTTATGGGTGCCATGTAAGCTACAAGGGAGTCAAGGATAAACCAGGAGACCTGATGGGATCTGTTGGAATGTTCTAAAAGAGAAGTAATACCTTGTGCCATGGCGGTGGTAGTCTAGGTGGGGAGTATCAGCCAGGTGTTTGGATTAAGTTTTAAAGATAAAGGCAAGAGGGCTTGCTGGTAACTTGGATGCAGAATATGAAAAAGAAAGGGGAGAAACAAGGGTGTCTATGAGGCTTCTGACTTGAGCCCCTGGGAGGCTGGAGCTGCCATCCACATGGGGAGGTTGGCAGCTTGGCTGTAGATGTTTAACTTGAGATCCTGTTCGCCGTTGCAGTAAAGGGGACACCGTTTGGAGTTGGGTCACCTGGGTTCACAACTTCCATCTATGACCTTGGCCAAGCAATCCAACCTCTTGGTGCTTTTTTCTCTGGACATTTCTGACTTTCTGGGGAGGTTGTGGGGATTCAAGGAGTGTTCCTGTAGAGAATCAGGACAATGTTTTGTACTGAGTAAACACTGCACATGTTGTTATTTGTAATAGTGGTAATGATGTGGTCAAGGAAAGTTGGTGGGGGTGACCCACAGAAGCTTGTGGGTTGAGCACTGATGGATGAATGACAGTGAGGGTGTAGGTATTGTGCCTCAGTGACTGAACCTCTCACTCTGTCTCACCTCCCCAGCAGTAATCTGATCTTAGAACCCAAGGGCACGTTGCCTGGGAAAGGACTTTGTAAATAAGCATCACTTATACCTGAGAAGAAAGGTGGGATTTGTCCCAAGGACTGCCTCAGGATACTTGCAGCATCTTTTTATATCTGAAAGCTGGCAGTCCCTGACCTCAGTTGGGGACATAATTACATTGCTATCTAGATATCCATGAATGATGGTGAGTGTTTTGTATTTCCTTGCACTGCCTAAGGAGGGAAGGAAGGGAAGGGAACTGATTTTTGTTGGGAATCTTTTGCATCAGTTGGATGATGAGGGTACTAGGATCTGACTCTATTTCATCCTAATTGTTCTCACTCAGAAGATGTGGGTCAGATAAACCCACACTCCAGGTGGAAGAAAGAGCTCAGGCTTTGTGTTTTTTTTTAAATAAATTGGAACCTGACTGGGTGTGGTGTCTCACACCTGTAATCCCAGCACTTTGGGAGACCAAGGCGGGAGGATCTCTCAAGCCCAGGAGTTCAAGGCCTGGTCAACATAGTGAGACCCTGTCTTTACCAAAAATTACAAATTGGCCAGGTGTGGTATCATGTGCCTGTAGTCCCAGCTGTTTGGGAGGCTGAGGCAGAAGGATGGCTTGAGCACAGGAGTTAGAGACTAAAGTGAGCTGTGATGGTGCCACTGCACTCCAGCCAGCCTGGGAGACAGAGTGTGACGCTGTCTAAATTGGAGCCCAGTTCCCACCCACTGTTTGCTATGTTACTTTCTGGGAAGTTATTTAACCTTTCTGAGCCTGATTCCACATCTCTGATGGTGCTGATAGTGGTCATCTGATTGGTTTGCTATGGAATTCAGGGAACCCCAACACAGGGATTGCACTTAACAAGCAGTACAGGGCCTGTGTTCTTCAGAGTACTTTTAATATCTCTAGTTGATGTATATTTTTAAATTAGATTTTTTTCTTCATGTTTTTAAGAAATAGGTAGGGCTAGTGTTGGGCAACTAACAAAACTTAGCTAAAGCTGATTTAACTTAAGTAAAGCCCATGGAATTTAAGCAACCTGCCCCTTATTTCACATTAATAAGCTATAAATAAATAAAATTGTGTTTTCTTTCCAAATGTGTATTTTGGATTCCTAGTCTAGTTTTTAATTTGAAAACAATAGTAATTCATCAACTTGGCAAGCAAGATTTTTTAAATCTAAGTATGAGAAATGTGTGCATAAAGGGACTGCAAATAAAGTTGTATTTGGAGAACAGTCTAGCAACACTTGAAAAAATCTTAAATATGTTCATAAATTTTGACCAAAAGCTTCAATTAATATCTAGCAGTTAATTCTAAGGGGAAAAAATACAAAAATTTAACTGCAAGGATTTATTCTAAGTATAGTTTTTCTGCTTGTGAAAAATGAGAGAAATATTCAAAGTACTTTAACATAGGATCAACTCAATAAATTGATACACCTATTTAGTAGAATAACATATAAACACAAACATGAAAAAAATTAACGGTATGTTACAACTTTACAAATGGTATGGCTGATTCTAAATTTCATCCGTAGCAAAAGAGGCACAAATACCAAACATTGTTGATGAAGAAAAATGATGATGAGAGACATGTCCTAGATACCAGAAGATATTAGAATACTGTGGTGTTGACATTTCACATTCATGTATGCACGGGGGGTTGGCCTATGTTAGGGTTTGAGTAAGTTTGGGGTGGAACGAGGAAAAAGGTCACGGAGGTAGCAATAGCACACACAAGTCTTAGTGGGGGACACATTGACAAGATTGTAGGAATACAGGTGTGCATCACCACGCCCAGCTAATTCTTTGTGTTTTTTGTAGAGAAAAGGTTTTGCTATGGTGCGCAGGCTAGTCTTGAACTCCTTGGCTCAAGCGATCCTCCTGCCTGGGCCTACTAAATTGTTGGGATTACAGGCATGGCTCAGGATATTTTATACAAATAAATAAATACAAAGTTAAAAGACAGGTGACAAACTATGAGAAAATTCAGTAGAGAAGAAGAAATACATCCAGGCTATGTCATGAATACCTGAAAATCAATAAGAAAAAAAAATAAGTGACTTAGTAGTTAATGGATTAGAAATGGACAGTTCCCAGAACAGGAAAGACAAAATGCCAGTTTAATTTTGTCTGTTTGTTTGTTTGTTTGTTTGTTTGGAGAAATGGGTTCTTGGTATGTTGCCCAGACTGGAGCGCAGTGGCTGTTCACAGGTGCCATGATGATGAACTGCAGCCCAGAACTCCTGGGCTCAAGCGCCTCTCCCGCCTCAGCCTCCTGATTACTGGATTATAGGTGCACACCACTGCTCCTGGCTCAAAATGGCAATTTTATACACATACACACACACCCACACACACACACCCACACACACATTTTTCACTTTGATAGTAGACTTACGTTGATTGATTGATTGATTGATTTTAAGGGCTGCAGGGTCCATTATTTATTTTAACTTGAACATGGAAGGAAAGTGTCACACTCCCCCTTCCCCTTTACAGGGGGAGTGTGTTTCAATCAACACCTCTTCTCCATCCACCCTGTGTGTGTGTGTACACACACACACACGCCACAGTCAGGCGGGGTGATCAGGCCGACCAGTCCTCTTATCTATTACTCCCTTGAAGAGGGCTTGACCATGGGAAAGGAGGAGGAACCACATCAGGCAGAAGTTTCAAGCCATGGAATGGAGGACAGAAGGCAGAGAGGAGCAGCACCAGAGGCTGGGAGAGAGCGGAGTTTGAGTTTGAGACTGCAGCGAGCCATGATTGGGCCACAGCTTCCTTATTTTTTATAAATTCTGTCCTTTGGAAGAGGGTGAGTGATTAATTTCCAAAATACACTTCAGAGTCCCACCTTCCACATAGCTCCCTTACTCACAGCCCTTTGGTTTTTCAGGCAATATTTAAGAGCCCTCATAAAGCCAGAAGTATCGATAGTCCCTCAGTGCACCCAAAAGCCATGTTCAATCCCTTACAAAGACTATGTTCCACAGACTTTGCTTCTCCCTCTACGTTTGTCTACAGCTCCGTGGTAAGGCGGCTGTAGAGACATATCAGGGTAAGTGGAAAAGGGAAACAAGGGGACGCCCAGGCACGTGGGTGCAGGGAGGGCAGGAACACCACTTCCAATTTCCTTTGTCTTTTCCTTTTAAAAAAAAAAGGTAAGAGTGTGATTGGTTGGAAGGGTAGAGAACAAACCCCAGAACAGACATTGATTTAATAGTTATCATATTTAATTATGTGTGATATTGTGTTCTTGGTTTCGTAGTTTTTGTTTTGTTTTGTTTTTTCTTTTTGAGTCAGGGTCTCATTCTGTCGCCCTGGCTAGAGTGCAGTGGCACAATCACGGCTCGCTGCAGTCTCAAACTCAAAACTCCCAAATTGTTTTCCCAGTCTCGCCATCAGGATATGAGAGTTGCCAGTGTGCCCTAGCCTCAGCAGCATTTAGTACTGTCTTTTATTTTGGCCACTCTCGTGGATTGAAATGCTGTAACAGTTTTAATTTGCACTTCTCTCATGCTATCATGTTGAGCCCCATTGGGTATGATCCTTTGCCCTTTTGGGGTTTTTTTTTCCCCCTTCTGTTTTTTAGGAGTTTTAATGTATTCTGAATATGAATTCTTTGTCAGGTATATGCATTGCACATAGTTTTTTCCAGTCTGTGGCTCACCGTTCATTTTCATAGTGTCATTTGATGAGTTGAAATGTTATTGCTTTCTCTTTGTGTCTACTTTAAAATGTTATATAACTAAAGGTCGGTTGTGGAAATAATTTTCTGAATTTTATTTACCTCAAAAGTTTTTAAATTTCAAATTGGTTTTTGTGTGCCATGAGAACAGAGCTCAGTGTTTCTTTTTTCCATTGTGTTCTTTCAGTGCCATTTATTATTACAGAAAGACTCCTTTCCCTGTTGAATTGGTTTGTGCCCTTATTGGAAGTCATTTGCACATGTGGGTTTATTTCTAGCTCTATTCTGTTCCATTGACTATTTGTCTGTACTTATTCCAGTAACTCTCATTACTGTGATAAAATTAGTAGTATGAGTCTTCCAAGTCTGTTTTTCATTCTTAATATTGTGCTGATTCTTCTAGGTCTTTTGCATTATTATGTGCACTTTATGTTTGACTTGTTCATTTCAAGAAAAAAAGCCTGCTGGGATTTTGATAGGGACTGTGTTGTATTTACAAATGAATTTGGAGAGAGTGAATATCTTGATATTGAATCTTGTAGTCCAGGAAAATGAAATAGTTCCCATGTATTTATCTCTTTAATTTCTTTCAGCAGTGTTTTATAGTTTCTCATACAACTTTTACTTGATTTATTCTTAGGTATTTGATATATGCCATCATTGTTTTTTAATCTTCATTTTCCAGTTCTTTGCTGAGATGTTTTTTCATTGTGAGTTTTATTTTTATTTATTTATCTTTTGAGTTGGAGTCTCACTCCATTGCCCAGGCTGGAGCGCAGTGGCACGCTCACAGCCACCCCAGCATCCACCTGCTGGGCTCCAGTGATCCTTCTGCCTTAGCCTTCCAAGTAGCTGGAACTACAGGCGCATGCTACTACACCCGGCTAATTTTTTATCTATTGTAGAGAAAAGGTCTCACCAAATTGCCCAGGCTGGTCTCGAACCCAGCGGCTCAGGCAATCCACTCACCTCGGCCTCCCAAAGTGCTGTGATTACAGGCTGAGTCACTGAGCCTGGCTTTCATTGTGATTAATGTGAAGTACATGCAAGATTATTTACTGACAGCAAAGGTAAGGCTTAGAGAGTTTTTGATTGAAAAAAGCTGGTGAGATTTTACATGGTCTATGGGAGACTGGAAAATTGAATTGCTGTGCTGTAGTAGTCCACTTTTCTTGAGTGTAGATGCCCCTTAGGAGTTAGTCACTGAGTTTCTACTCTGCTGATATGCCTGGTTGTATGAAGACTTGTCTTCCCAGGTACCTCCAGGGAGGAGGCAGGTATTTGGTTCTTTAGGAGCTATAATAAGCAGAGAGATGAAGGTGTTTGGACAAATAAACTGTTCAAGTGATGGATTGTGGTGAATTGCAGCTGGGTGGGTGAGACAGTAAGAGGAGGAGCTGGCTGTTAGGGAACAAGATGGCAGGAGGACAGGTGGTCTGCAATCTCTAAAGTGGGAGTATTCATGTGAGAAGAAGGCTATGTAGGAGGTTTTGTCCAGAGAGCAGATTTCCTAATCATTGTCTGGGAATGAGGCTGATTCTAGTGATAACAAGGTCTAGACTGTGGCCCAAGGATGTATATAGTGGCATGGAATGTGGGCACAGAAGGCACTGAGATCAGAACTCGTGGTCCTGGGTGGACCATCCTCATAGATGTTGCCATCCTAAATGATGGCAGTCCTGGAAGGTGAAGGAAGGGAAGAACAGAGAGAGTCTAACAGTTGTGCTTGGTGGAAAATCACTTGGGAAGAGCAAATCTGAATCATGAATCTGAATCCAACTTAAGGCAGGTCGGGTTCCCTCCCACCACCACATTGCCGGGTGGTTTTACCTGAGTAAGATTAAAGGTCCAGGAGCAGACAGAAAAACTTGGCTACTCAAAAGAGGAAATAGCAAAAGAATTTCAGAGTTTTCCTCGGTGAGCAGGAGAGAGGTAGCCTTTGACTACGCCTGGTATTCTCTCCTTCACCACAGATGCCAGCTTGGAGAGTCTCGTGAGAGGAAGAGAGTGGCCACCTGGTTCTCCCAGTACCCTGTTGTTCAGGCGAGTTGACTGTCTTTCTTACAGGATGGCAACTCTTCGTCTGTCTTCCACACTTGGTAAGTTCTTGGGTCAGGGCCTGGCCTAAGAAATCAAGTGTAAGTGGCCCCTGCCATGTCACCAAGGTAAAGGGTATGTGCAGCCATAGAGGGCCGCCAGGAGAGGATGGGTGAGCTGAAAAGGGGTGGGAAGAGAGCCCTGGGAACTATGAGGTGACTGTCTAAGGGTCCTAGTGGGTCTGGGAGAAGGAGAGTGTCTGTATAGTTGGTGTGTGGAGAGAGCACAAGTGGCCTCGCATTATCCCATTTATCATTTTGATAAATTTGAGCAAAGCAATAACTCTGCCTCTCATAACTGGCATTTCTGCACTCATACATTGGGATTATATGTCATTTCTTTTCTACCTTTGAGCGGATCAGGGCTCTTCTGATTTAATAAAATGTCTGTGGGCAGGGGTGAGAGAGGGAGATATGTTTGGAGGTATCAACACTCAGTGTGGAGTAGTTTCCTTATTTGCACATGTTGTAATGTGGAGCAGGGTTTGATTCCCCTCTTTTTACCTCCAGCTCTGTCCACTCAGGACCTCACCTGTCTCCCGGAGTCAGAATTTCCTCTTTCTTCAAAAGGCCATTCCTGTCCCCAGAATTTGGACCTGTTCTCCTGCAATGGTCTGGAGCCTCACACACCAACCAGTGCTGGTTCCCAGGTACACTGAGATCTCAGGGCCTGAGAGGGTGGGAGAGGTGCTTTCTAGAATGTCCCCCTAAGTGCATGCTGGAAGTCTTTGGGGTCTTCATTTTGACTGATGAATGTCTGATCAGGGCCCAAGAAAGCCAAGGAATATTGGGAGGCTGTCATGATGTCAGAGTAGTTAGAGGAAATTATTTATGTAGCACATGTTTTTCTTATGCTTGCAAAGTGCTCAGGTCCATCCTCAACCCCAGAGACGGGGAAATCTAAAAGCTCTCAAACCAGTTTAGAAGTGGAGAGATATGGTGCCTTGTCAGAGTTGCATTTGAAGTGATGAGACAAGACAAGGGGAGAGAAGATGTCTGATGACTGATGTCTAGAGAAAATGTTGAGACCTCCAGCACACCATCTGAAAATCCTGCGTTGGATCTCATTCCTGGTCTTCAGCCTCAGCCATCTTTTTGTGAATACCAATAAGCTGGTTCCTCACTGACCCCAAACGTGTTTGGTATTTCAGGAGTCAGTGACTTTCCAGGATGTTGCTGTGGACTTTACTGAGAAGGAGTGGCCTCTGCTGGATTCTTCTCAGAGAAAACTCTACAAAGATGTGATGCTGGAGAACTACAGCAACCTTACCTCACTGGGTAAGACTGGCATCGCTTCTCCATTCATGAATCAGATGCTGCTGTTTAAGTATTTTCTGTGACTCAGGAACTAAGCTGGGGCTCAGAACACATCTGCAAACAAGCAGTCCTGGTGCCAGCCCTCACGGTGCCAGCCTTGGGTATTGAGACCCGTTCGTTGCATGGGCCTTGGTTCTCCAGTGTGTGTCTGAGCTTGGGCACAAGCTTCCCAGATGAGAAATCCACATTCTTTTGTGTTGCTATAAGAAAAACCTGGAGCTGTATCCGGGAAGGAGCCGAGAGACCAAAGAATGACTCAGACAAATCCAGCTTGGCAAGCAGATGAGTTTATTAGAACCTACATACAGGGCACCGCGGGGCAACGGCAGGACATCTCTAGAAATCTGCCCCGTCAGCCATCTCTAAGCAGCTTTGAAGCTAAGTTTCTGGTTCTTTGTCTGCTATATGTGAAGACACTGTTTTTCTTGATATGTTTCCACATACACTCTGGGTGTTGTGGGTTCTCAGGGACACCTGCTCCTTGACTGAGCATCATGGGCTTGGCTCACCCCCTGGCCTTCAGTTTTCAAGCAGTGGACATACACCCTTAAGCCACCTGGTGGGGCAGCCGCCACCCTACACGTGGGTATCAGGTTTTGTTTTCTGTGAAAGACTTTTACTGTGTTCCTTAGAAGTTTGGCACCATCATTTTGCTGCTCCTAAGTCAGACTTGTCCCCCTTCAGAACACTTAAGACCAAAATGTTGACTCCAGGCTAATGGAAGGAACTGTCCTCTGCATGGTCCTCCCTCAACATGTGTCTTTCCCATGGCTATAGGGTATCAGGTTGGCAAACCCAGCCTCATCTCACACTTGGAGCAAGAGGAGGAGTCAAGGACAGAGGAGAGAGGCACTCACCAAAGCACTTATCCAGGTGAGTGAGCCCCAGGCGAACAGTGGGGCTGTGACTGTTCAGGGATTGGGGTGGAGAGAGGTGAGTTAGGAAATGTCATCAGAGAAATTGGGAAATGACCCTCTTCATTCTCACAAATCCTTTGGCCTCCTTGCTCCTTTGTCTTTGAATTTGACATCTCCATGTGGGCTCTCTGACCCATTCTTTCATACCTGACATTTCTGATCATACTGTTTCTGTCTTTATCAGTGTCCATCTGAATTGACTTGCATTTATACCCATCATTGCCAAATATCTCACACAGTCAGATTTTTAACAGTAGTTTTTGCTCCAGTGTGTGTTCTTGTCTTTCTCATCACTTTCTCTCATAGGGTTAGTACCTACAAAGAAATCCACCTGTTTTTATTACTGTCATCACCATTTTCCTTTCCCAGCAAGTTATTACTTTTCCATTGCATTTCAGATTGGGAGACTCCATCTAAAACCAAGTGGTCACTTCTTATGGAAGATATTTTTGGAAAGGAAACTCCCAATGGTGTGACAATGGTAAGATTTCTTTGGAGGTAATCTGGATCTTCCATATTTGAGGAGACTAGGGCAGCCTAAGTTAGAAGAGCAGCTCAAGAACCAGGTAAGTGGCATTCCCCAGGAGGAAGCAGGGTTTAAGAGACACTCCTGAATATCACCAAGTTGGAGAAATCCCTAAACCTAGCCTGAGGCTTTTTACTTAGAGTTCTGATGCGTAAATACTTTCATTAACTATGTCTCGGATTGATGGGGCTCAATTCAGTTTTAAACAGTGAACAAAGTGTACACAAAGAGCTTTATAAAAGTAGCACCTGCAGCCTTATGGTCTAGCATTTCCCTGCTCTCTTTGATGGAGCCCGAGGGGGACAAGTGCAATATATTGACCCTGCAAATTATGACATCTCTAGTCATAATGATATGCTTCTATTGATAGCAACGTAAGTGGGGGTGATTCTTTGGAATTCCATAAATTTGGGAAATCCCTTAGTCAGCACTCATCTCTTAACCAACAGGATAGAACTCGTCTTGGAGAGAAGTCCACTGAATATGCTCACTTGTTTGAAGTCTTCAGCATGGGTGCTCACCTCACTCAGCCAATGGGAAGGCATGCTGGCAAGAGGCCCTATCACCGCCGTGACTATGGGGTAGCTTTTAAGAATAGGCCGCATCTAACTCAACACGTGAGCATGTATGACGGAAGAAAAATGCACGAATGTCATCAGTGCCAAAAAGCCTTTACTACAAGTGCTTCCCTCACACGGCACAGGAGGATACACACTGGGGAGAAACCCTACGAATGCACTGACTGCGGAAAAGCCTTTAATGACCCATCAGCCCTTAGGAGTCATGCAAGAACTCACCTCAAAGAGAAGCCCTTTGACTGCAGCCAGTGTGGAAACGCATTCCGGACCCTCTCTGCCCTGAAGATACACATGAGAGTTCACACTGGCGAGAGGCCTTACAAGTGTGATCAGTGCGGGAAGGCCTATGGCAGGAGTTGCCACCTCATTGCACACAAGAGAACGCACACTGGAGAGAGGCCCTACGAGTGTCATGACTGTGGGAAAGCTTTCCAGCACCCCTCCCATCTTAAAGAGCATGTCAGGAATCATACTGGGGAGAAACCCTATGAATGCACGCAGTGTGGCAAAGCCTTTCGATGGAAGTCTAACTTCAATTTGCACAAGAAGAACCACATGGTAGAGAAAACCTATGAATGTAAAGAATGTGGGAAATCCTTTGGTGATCTTGTGTCACGGAGGAAACACATGAGAATCCATATTGTTAAGAAACCCGTTGAATGTCGACAGTGTGGGAAAACCTTCAGAAACCAGTCCATCCTTAAGACACACATGAACTCACACACTGGAGAAAAACCTTACGGGTGCGATCTCTGTGGGAAGGCCTTCAGTGCAAGCTCAAACCTAACTGCACACAGGAAAATACACACTCAAGAGAGACGCTATGAATGTGCTGCCTGTGGGAAAGTCTTTGGTGATTATTTATCCCGAAGGAGGCATATGAGCATTCATCTTGTAAAGAAACGTGTTGAATGTAGGCAGTGTGGGAAAGCCTTCAGAAACCAGTCAACGCTAAAGACACACATGCGAAGTCACACAGGCGAGAAACCATACGAGTGTGATCACTGTGGGAAAGCCTTCAGCATAGGCTCTAACCTGAATGTGCACAGGAGGATCCACACTGGGGAGAAGCCCTATGAATGCCTTGTCTGTGGGAAAGCTTTCAGCGATCATTCTTCCCTCAGAAGTCATGTGAAAACACACCGGGGAGAGAAGCTCTTTGTGTCATCAGTGTGGAAAAGACTCCAGTGAGCATGCCTGTTTTAAGAGAACATAAGCACTCAGACTACAAACAAACCTCATGAGTATAAGAAGGCAGGAAGCCCTCATGAGCTTTCACCTTCCTGGGCACAGGAGAATTCATATAACTTAGGAGAAATCCAGTTCCTGTAAACACTGGGAAGATGAGGTGTTCGTCATCCCTTAGGAGATTTGTGAGAGCTCAACACTGGGGTAGAAAATGTACACCTGTACCATGGAGATACATTCAGCGCTTAACAAATGAGAACTTAGGGAGAGAAACCTCAGTTTGGCATTTAGAATCAAAATGACTTCAGCTTGCCTCTCGCCTCCTGGGCACATGACTAATAAGCACTAGGGAGAATCTCTATGAATGCAGTAACTGGGGAAGCCTTTCTTGGTCTCACAGTCTAGTCCTCATGAGAGAAACCCCACTGAGGAAAGAAATCAATAAAGTAAAAAAATGTGGAAAGTCATTAATGGGTCAGCAAAGTATGGCTAGCTGTCTGTTAGCTGGCCAGCTAACAATAGTTGTTACATTTTAAAAGAGGAAGAATATCTGACAGAGACCATAGGTGGCCAATAACCTTGAAATACTTGCTGTCTGGCCCTTTTCAGAAAAACTTGGCCTACCTTTGTTCTACAGCAGTGGTTCTCAACTAGGGGTGATTTTGGTGTCCAGGGGTCATTTAAGCAATGTCTGGAGACATGTGGTTGTTAGAACTGAGGGGAGGTGCTCCTGGCATGTAGCAGGAAGACATCAGGAATGCTGCTAAGTATCCTACAATGCATGTGACCCCCCACACACAAAAAGGAATTATGTACCCCCAAATGTCAGTATTGCTGAGGTTGAGAATAATCCAGTATTCCTCAGTTAATGCCTATAGTAACCCCTCAATTTTTATAAATCTTATGAACACACACGCTAGAAGATACTTCAGAACTTTAAAAATATAATCAGCTCTCACCCTATTTGGAAATGATTTCAGCCAGTCTCCTCACTCATGCATATGAATATTCTCACTGGGAGGGACACTCCAGTGGAATTTTCCAGTGAATATGGGATTACACTTGGTCTTTCACCCTGAATACCAACCCTGGCTCGTTACTCTTTAGTCTTTATTTTTAAAGGTTATGTTCCTCTAAGTAGCTCTTAAGCATCATCACGAAAATTTGTATATAGTATTTTTACTATAGCTTCACGTCTTATTTTCTTTTGGATAAGCTACTTGACCAATGGCATATAAGCACTGTGTTACAGACCCTGTAACATGTGGGTATTTCTTAGTACCTGTCTTGTTACTGGTATCTGTTCAGATGCATAGTGATCAGAGCATGTCTTCGTCAGTGGGATCTTTCGGTGTATTTACAGTCTACTCTCCAGCCAGGAGTGGCAGATACTTCTAGTTGCTTTTCCAGTATCTGCTTTCACCTTCTTCCAATATTAAGAGAGTCCAGGTTGTGTCAGATTAGTCAGATGTGCTATTTTGTAAAATCTGTCATGGGTTTTTTTTGCAACTAGTACCGTTCACGTCCCATAACCCTGGCCATTGACAAATAAGCAGATGTAACTCTGTGGGCTTCTGAGAAAGCTCCTAGCAAGGGGTCATTAACTTCAAATCTTCCCTACATGTTTTGTTCTTTGCTTTAGTCCCTACTTCTCACTTTGCAAGGAGATCCAGTACGTAGTGCTAAAAGTTCCATCTTGTGACCATGAGGATGAAAGCCACAGTTTAAGAAGGATACTGCACTAAAGTCACAATGTCCCTTGGCCTCTCCTCTGGCTTGAGTCTGCACTAGCCCTGGATTTGGTACTTCTAGACTTCCTATTACATGAGAAAAAAATAAAACTGATTACTGGTTTAAGCTGCTATGGATATTGTCATTGTTTTTATTTATTTTGAGATGGGGTCTTGCTATGTTGCCCAGGTTACACTTGAGCTCAAGGGATCCTCCTGTCTCTGCTTCCTTACTACCTGGGACTACAGGTGTGTACCACCATGCCTGGCTTGTTTTTTATTTATTTATTTACTTACTTACTGGTAGGGGGAGGGTTCTATACCCACTGGATGCTGTCCAGAGAGCATACACCCAATTGTTTTATAACTGCTGTCTAAAGATGTAGGCATAGTGTATATGCTTTTCATTATTAAATATAGGGTTTTTGTGTGTTTGTTTTTGAGTTGGAGTCATACTCTGTCACCCAGACTGGAGTGCAGTGGCCACCACAGCCTCGACCTGCTAGGCTCAGGCGATCCTTCCACCTCAACCTTCCAAGTAGCTGGAGCTACAGGTGTGTGCCACCATGCCCAGCTAATTTTTTTTAATTTGTTGTGGAGACAAGGTCTCACCAAGTTTCCCAGGCTGGTCTCAAACTTCTGGACTCAGGAATCCTCTGGCATCTGCCTCCTAAAGTGTTGGGATTACAGGCATGAGCCACCAGGCCTGGCAGATGTTTTTTAATTGTTTAAACCAAGTTCCTAAAAATTGTATTTTGAGTCCTTGGTATACTTAAGCATTTACTTGAAGTTTATTGATAGAATGTTCATTTTCACAGTAGCCCAAGGAAACAGGTTCTGTCAGCATCTCCATTTTGCATTTGGGGCATCTGAGACAAGAAAGTTGAGGTCTCGTGCCTGAGATCAGTCTGTTGGCTAGCAGCAGTGCTTGGGTTTTAACCCTGGTGTCTCTGGAGTCTATAAGTCTTATTCCATGCACAGGTACTGTTCTGTGATGCCCAGTGTCTAGACTGAGTAAGGATTTTTGCCCTGATGGTGCTTCCATTCTAGTTGAAGTACCTGATTAACAAACATTTATGCAAGAAAACAAGCATGCCTTTCTCTTGGGTGTATACCCTGGGTAGAAATTTCTGGGTCATGTGAGAGGCATTTGTTCATTTTTAGTAGATGTTGGCAGTTTTCTGCAGTGGTGGTGCAAACTGTTCCAACAAGCTCACTGCATATCAGATGGTGGCAAATGCAGTAGAGGAAACATGTATGGTGATGATGCAAGGGAAGATAGGGGTGGAGGGGAGTTACTGGGTGTGTAGGGAAAGCCTTAGGGATGTTTAAGCAGAGATGTAAGTGAACTACGAGTGTGTACCCTGTTGTCATCTGAGGAAGAGCACCCTCAGCAGCTCAAAGGCTGCGAAGAAGGGCTGTGCTTGGGATGGCCAAGCAACCACAGAGGCACTGCTGTGATGGAGTGGAGCAAGCTTGGGAGTGATAGAAGATGACAAAGTTAGAACCTTATTGAAGATCTGTTCATGGGGCATCTTGTGTGTCAGCTGGAAGGACTTTGCCTTTCAGCCCCAATGCAGCAGGACGGCAGTGGAAGATTTGGAGTAGAGGATCCCCAACTCTAATTTGTTTTCTTTCTTCCTTCCTTCCCTCTCTCCCTCCCTCCATCTGGAATGTGATCCTTCTGCCTCAAACTTCTGAATAGCTGGGACTACAGGCACATACCACCACACCTGGCTAATTTTCTGATTTAAGAATATCTATTATAGAATTATATGGTACAAGTGAAGATTTAATACATAAGTAGGCTGCATGCAGGTGGCCCTCACTTCCCCTGGTAATGGGCCCAGTAAGTATCCTTTGTGTTGTCATGTAGAAATGAGATCTTACTATGTTGCTTAGGCTGGTCTTGAACTGGGTTCAAGCAGTCCTCTGGTCTTGGCCTCCCAAAGTGCTGGGATTACAGGTGTGAGCTACCACACTTGGTCCAATTTCTGTTTTTCTTTTTTTTTTTGAATCAGAATCTCACGCCCAGGCTGGAGAACAGTGGCATACTTAGGGCCACCGCAGCTTCTGCCTCAACCACCCAAGTAGATGGAGCTACAAACATGTGCCACCACACATGGCTAGTTTTTTTGATTTATTGTAGAGATGAGATCTTGCCAAGTTGCCCAGGCTAGTCTTGAACCTCTGGACTCAGGCAGTCTTCTGGCCTCTGCCCCCCAAAGTGCTGAGATTACAGGCATGAGCCACCATTTTCAAAAGAGAATCAAGCAGGGCGAGGTGGCTCAAGTCTGTGATCCCAGCACTTTGGGAGGCCAAGGTGAGGGGATTGCCTGAGCTCATGTGTTTGAGAACAGCTTGGGAAACTTGGCTAGACCTCATCTCTACAATAATTTTTTTTTTAATTAGGTGGACGTGTTAGTGTGCACATGTAGTTTCAGTTACTTGGAAGGCTGAGGCAGAAGAAGATTGCCGGAGCACAGCCGGTCGACGCTGGGGTGATCGTAAGCCTGGGTGATGGAGTGAGACTCCAACTCAGGGAAGAGGGGGAGGAATTAACTGGGTGTGGTAGTGCAGGCCTATACTCTACAATCAAAAAATTAGCTGGGCGTGATGGCACATGCCTGTGGTTCCAGCTACTTGGAAGGCTGAGGCAGAAGGATCGCCTGAGCCCAGCAGGTTGATGCTGGGGTGGCTATGAGTGTACCACTGCACTGCAAGCCTGGGTAACAGAGTGAGACTCTGACTCAAAAAAAAAAAGGCATTGTAGTGGCTTCTGGGTTGATAGACTAAAGATGGACATGATACCAACAGAAACCAGTCGGAAGGCCATTGCAGAATTCAAATGAGATGTTATGGTGGCTAGAATTAGGGCCAGAATTAGCGTCTCAGACTCCCCTACCAACAGTCATCTGCCTCATCGCGTCTCTACCTTTCCATTTTTTAACTTCCTTAGCTCACTAAGTGGTTTCACATTTTCATACTGCCTCCAGTGGCCATAGTTCCTCACCTGTCTACACATAACACACATCCCTAATGTTTATGTTCCGGGGACTGGGTTTGGGATTTGAATTAGGGAAGCTAACGAGGGTTTGCAGTCAAGCAGTTTCCTTAAAAGAGACTCACGTGTAGTGCTGACTTTCTCTTTTGTGAAAAGCCTTAGGGGACTGTCAAGTCTGTGTCTGAGTTTAGATGTGGGTTTCTTGAACCAGAGATCCCCCAGTCCCAGTCCCCTTGAAGCTATGAGTTTGAGGGGATCTATGTTTCTTGAGCAGGTCTGAGAGTTGTTGCCAATTTGGTGGCAGGGTATGTTGTTGGGCACCTTATTAAATAGATAGTCTATTCTACCTGCATCATTTAACACTTTCGTCAACCACATTAAAATGCCACCTGTGTCATACTAAATTCTCTTGAATACTGGGAATTAGCTGATGAATTCCATTGACTCAATATTTGTTACCTGCTTCTTCCAGATATTCATAGGCACTGACAGTGCAGCAATACACAGAAGAGGTCGTGTTCCCATGAATCTTTACATTAAACTTTCAGTCAGGGTACAAGACATATGGGATAGACCCATTAAACTCATGCTGTGTACAGTGCATAACTTTTGACTGCTTTGCCTTTTTAGGAAACAGTGTTCACGGAAATCCTCAAGAGGCAGCTCCTGTGTACATTTCAGCTTCTAGAATCGAAGAGGGCTGGGAATGCTTATGAGGAATCACCCAAGCGCTTCTTTTCTACCATGGTCCTGCTCTGTGAGACCCTGTCTCTCTTACTGTGTTCATTTGATTGTCAGATTGCACGATGTGAGAAGTGCTTGCTTGGTCATGTCAAACTTGACTGTTTCTGTCTTCCAGGGCAGATCGTTGGATCTGTGTTTTCTTTCAGTCCCTTCACTTCTATCTAATTTGACCTCCAGGATCTTAATCTTTTACCCGAGGAAATCCTTCTCCTTAAGCAGCATGAGGTCTTTGATTTGTCTTTAGTCCACTGCTAATTTTCTGAGTTCAACATAGAGCTGATTCTTAAAACCCATCTATTGACTCCTTCTAATAAATCAGTCTGCTTCGTAGAGACACAAGTTCCATCCTTGGGACTTGATAGGTGTTTTGACCTAACATTTGTGATCCTTCAGTAGTTGTTTCTCTACCTCATTCAAGAAGAAGGCAGCTTTGAGCTCTTTCCATAGGTTGCCTGGTCCTCCCAGTCACACTAGAGTGTAGTCATTCACTTTCTGCAGAAGAGATAAGTGTAAAAAGTCAACTTACAGGCTAGAGAGTGGAACCAGCATCAAGAGCTTAACCCCACAGTCACTGCTCTTGCCTCCCCCTGCTTCCTTTCATGCCTCCATTGATGGCCCCCGCCACCAGGCTTCCGCCTTCCATTTGGCTTCCTGGGATCTCTGCACCCTTCCTTTCCCCTTGTGGTCTTTGGGTGTGTGGTCAAGGGCAGGTTTCACCCCTTGGGTCAAAAGTATTCCTAGGAGCCGGGCTCGGTGGCTCAGCCTGTCCTCCCGCGCCTGTGGGAGGCTGAGGGGAGTGGATGGCCTGAGCCCGCGGGTTCGAGACCCGCCAGGGCAGCGAGACCTCATCTCTACGATAAATCGAAAAATCAGCCGGGCGTGGGAGCGCCTGCCTGTAATTCCGGCGACTCGGAAGGCTGAGGCGGAAGGATCGCCGGAGCCCAGCAAGTCGAGGCTGCGGTGGCCGGGAGCGGCCACTGCCCTCCAGTCTGGGCGACAGAGTGAGACTCCAACTCAAAAAAAAAAAAAAGTATTCCTAGGCTCATTATTGAAGAAATAGCAGTCACCTATTGTCTCTTGCCTAGGTTTGGAAAAATATATGCACCCTAGAGGCCAGGTCTAAGGGGAAAGGAATGCTTTCTCAACATCGAGTAAAATGGACCATCTCCTTAATGAGGAGCCTTGGGAATCCAGCACAATTCCCCCTTTGTGCCCAATTTCTCCATCATTTATCAGAGTAGAAGAAAATAATGAATGCCCACGGACAACTTAAGTGGTCCAAGGCTATTGCCTCCCATTGCACTTTCCTGCCAATTCTCAGGATAGACAAAGTATCTCACGATGTCTCCAGAGGGAGCTTCTAATTACACTGACACAATCTTCTGT